TTGGATACGGCACCACCTCAAACGAGTTACAACCACAACACCTTCTCGTCGTTGAGTACAATCCCTGGAGGGGAAGAACAACTCAAAGACAGTAACTGAAATCAGTAATCATCAAAACCTTCTTACCTAAGCAAAACAGCCCCTATATATAAGAGCGATTAGAACTTATATTAGGTAACGCTTTCAATTAAGAAATAGAATAAAAAGAAAGTAATATAATAGATAAGGATTTATAATAGAGGATTTAATGGAAAAAGAAATAAAAATTAAGAGGGAAAAGGAAAGAAAAAGGGTGAGAAGGGTTGGATCGCAGTTACTGTAGCTGCTACAGTAACCGTCTGCTGCATTGTAGCAGCTACAGTCTCACGATCCGAGAAAGCTCCTGCGTCAGGAAAGCGTAGCTTATTCTGGAAAAAGAGATATCCATCAAATCAATGATAATGCACATACAGCCTATCCTATCACTGGAACCAAATATCTCGAAAATCCTAATCAATTACATATAAATCCTTCAACACCTCAAAACCAACGACCTTAGACCGCATCGTCTGACTATTCAAAAATCTCAGGGCTTCATAATCAATATACAGATTAAATTCACATGCCAGCAGGTAATGAATCCAATGTTTAAGTGCCCACATGATATCATAAAACTCCTTATCGTAGGTAGGTACTTTCTCTTGGAATCATTTAATTTTTTACTAAAAAAACAATAGGGTGCCCTCCTTGACTTAAGACAACTCCAATTCTCACATTAGAGGCATCAAACTACCTCGAACACTTGATTAAAATATGAAAGTACAGGAATGGGGGCTTAAGTCACCTAGTTCTTTAAAGCATCAAAACTGGCCTGAGCATCATCTTACCATGCAACTTTATCTGACTTGAGAAGTTTCGTCAAAGGTTGCAATCGGGCTGAAATTTCTGATAAACCTCCTATAAAATGAAGTCAAACCATGAAACTAACGTACTTGAGTAAATAACTGGAGACTGGATCATGCAACAATAGTCTAAATTTTAGTGGGGTCCATCTCAATACTGGCAGTTGAAACAATATATCCTAAAAAGGTCGCAATCAAGCTAAAATTTCTGATAAACCTCCTATAAAATGAAGTCAAAACCATGAAACTAGCATACTTGAGTAAATGACTAGAGTCTAGGTCATGCAACAATAGCCTGGCATGAGTAAATGACTAGAGTCTAGGTCATGCAACAATAGCCTGGCAGGTGAAACAATATATCCCAAAAAGGACATCTATAACGTAAGAAAGAGACAATTCTTTGGATAGCCATATAGCTTCTTTGTCCAAGGAACCCCAAAAATTTGTCACAAATGTTGTAAGTGCTCCTCTTCAAAACTATTGTCACCTAAATATTATCAAAATATACAACCATAAACTTCCCAATGAAAGCTCGAAAAAACCTAATTCATCAATCGCGTGAAAGTGCTCAAGCCATTGGATAGCCTAAAAGGCAAGAATATCTACTCATACAATTCATCTCATGTCTTAAAGATTGTCTTCCACTCATTCTCTAGTCACATCCTTATTTGGTGATAGCCGCTGCACAAATCAATTTTTGGAAAAAAACACTGGCTTCATACAATTGATCAAACAAGTCATCCAATCTAAGAATAGGAAACTTGTACTTGATTGTGATCTTATTCACAACCCTGATATCTATGTACATGCTCAATGATAAATTTTTTTTTGGCACGATCGAAGCTAGCACAGCACATAGACCAGTGCTCTCGCTAACTATCCTCAGGTTATCAAATCCTCAACTTGCTTTTGTAGCACCTCGTACTCTGTTGGTCACACCCAACAGGCTGGTTGTTGGCAAGCACTGATCCTAGGATAAGATCGATAGCATGTTGAATCTCTCACACAAAGGCAAAAATCCAAGTGATATACTGTCCTTCAAAACTCAAGACATCCCTAAACTCCTCCAATAATACCTCAGATATGGATTCCTCCGTCTCACTGCCTTCTAGTATCACCAAGTTTAGTCCCATTGGTGCCTCCCTCATAGCCTCTAAAAAGGTAGCACGAGGCACGATGGTTTCAACCTCTATCTGCAAGTTCATCATTAATGGTTTCTTTAATGGAAAAATTAAAATATGTTTCCCATCCTTATTACTATTATAGGTATTTTTGTAGCCTTCATGAAATCTGCATCGTTCATACTATCACAGTTGCCCCAACAGAATATGACATGCATTCATATGCAAAACATCACACCAGACTTGATCATGCAGCTTGTCTCCAATTAAAAATTTCATTAATCATATCTTGTCGACATAAATTTCATTTCCCTTCTTCAGCAAATTCAGAATGCTTATGTGTACTGAGGCTCAATTTGTCTATCATCTGCGTAGAAATCATATTTTAATAATTGTCTCCATCAATAATGAATTTATACACCTTCCCCTTTACAATACAATGTGTGCAGAAGATGTTATATCTAAGCCATTGCATCCACTAGCCACATGAAAAGGGCTAGCATGTCTAAAGCAAGCTTGTGTGGAGGATGATAAGGTTTAGTTTACATGAACTAGAAGGAAGCACAATGGTCAACATCAAGGGGAAACAAAGGAGGCACACCCAATTCAAACTCCCCCTACCCCTCCCCTTTTTTGGAGTGTCATAACCAAAAAAGTGGTATCATAGTAGGTTCTAACATCTAAAGCCTACCCATTGCATCAATTAATTTAAAATATCAAGGGCTCTTTACAATATATAGTAGATGTCATGTGATGTAAAATCCCAATATACTCACATGTGCAACCAATGTAGTTTATTTCAGCACTTTCTTTTGACATTGTTATGCCTTTAGTTTATGTTGCTTTATGATATCAACAACTTCGTTCAATTCTCTTTGTTACTTTAGCCACGTGATTCTTATTGTGGTTATGAAGCTTCTCCTAGTTGTAGCATATTATTTGTTCCATAGTTGGTGGCTGCTATTGCTAGTAGTTTGTTTTGTCATTTATACATAAAGCATATTTTGCATATTTGCTATTAGAGGTGGTTAAAACTTATAACTCTACTTCTACCTTCTATTTCATCCATGTCTTACAAATATCTAAAGCCAAACAAACACTGGCTTCAATGCTTATAAACATCTAAGACATGTAAGAAATAAAAATTTAGGCTTCACAAAAATGCTAGTTTGTTTTCAATATTGTGTATGCCTATTGAATATTGGATTCCTTCGAGTATAAGGAAAATGTGACTATACATTTCTAAGAGAAGCCGTCTCCTTATACTGACATGAGACCTACACATTTCTCTACACAATGAATCCTTGCCCTTGTTCTTTTTATTCTTCTAAAAATTTTGCAATTATTGTTTTGTGAATTTATCATGAGTTGTAATTCTAGTGTGAACCCGATTCAAGTATTGATTTTTGTCTCACTTCGTGATTTATTTTATTTAAATTAGGGTTGTTACTATTAGACGCAACACCAAAATTCAACTCAAACCCAACACAAAAAATTTCGGTTCAGTTCAACCCATCAATAAAACGATTGAGTTAAGTTCAACATAAGTGACCAGAAAAGAATTAAGGTATGGTTTGACTTGTGATGGATCTGGTTCAAGTCAACCCAAAAATAATTAATTAATTAATTCTTTTCAAGTTGTTATATCCAAATCAGGTAATCATGTCAATTTTAGGTCAAGTTCGCATTAATTTATCACGATTTAAGCATACATCATGTCTTATTTCCAAGCAGAATCTTCAAGATGTCATTCTGCTTGTCAAATGACCCAAAGAAGACAAAATTCTCGTTCAATTCAAAGCTCTTGACCAAGCTTCAAATTCAACTGTATAAAGGTTGTCAATTAATCTTGTCAGGCAAAGCACTTGTCATTATCGGAGGTTGTAGCAAATACATTCCTACCAATATGCCACAAATATCAACACTCACCATCACACTATCATTCCAGTAAATTAAAAGAAAAAATAAAGACAAAAAAAAAACGAATGAAGATAAGCAATTCAAACAAAGCATAATAGCAAGTACCATATGAACTTGCCAGCTCAATTTCTACCCAAAAGCAATCAAAAGCAAGTGAATAAAAAAGAATAAAACCCCTAAATTAGTCATAGAACTAAGGGTGGAAATAAAAGAATGCTTGTTCCAACCAGTCTCAATAAAACTTTTAACCATAAAAGATGGGTGATGTATGCATCAAAACTGTCAGCACGAATCTTAGAACGATCAAACAATCAGGGATGAGAGTCGAACAATCGAAGCGACTGATTGAAGGAGCATGATCTGAACCAGCCATCCGACGACCGACTGCTCGGTCAAGTCGAGCCGACATGCAATTTCGGTGGGTCGAACCAGCGGACCACACTTACGGTCCCAACTACCCAAACTTCATGCAAGGACGTCTGGTTATAACTAGTCGACCGACCGACTTTACCTCACAGGAACGATCTTTACAAGACCTGTCGCCCCAATCGACTGAACTCAACTACGTCAGTCAACTAATAGTCGTTGAATTACACTCAAATTGCAACGTAAAAATTATAGTAAATCAGCGAATTAAATGTATTAAAAGCGGTTTTCATAACCGTTCATTCTTTTTTGTAATTGTATAAATAGGTCCCTATAAATAGTTGGGTTTGAGTTGGGTTGAGTTCGGTTTGAGTGGTCGTAAAGGGGCATTTTTCCCCACTTCTCTACCCAGGAATTCTCTAACAGCTTTAACCTCTATCTCTCCTCCTCTCAGGTCTAAATCTCAAGGTGTGTGTTTCCGAAAAATAATTTAGGATTCAATATGTGAGAAATCGAAGCAAACATTACAAAACCTTCCTAAACTAGACAGAACAAAGGAACCACTCAAGGGATCAAATAAAAAAACGATTTCAGCAAATGACGAGAAAAATTTTGAGGAAACGCAATGCAGGCTTATTCGTGACCACAATCCATTACAAAAAATGGGACAACGAGAATGCGAGCGAAAGACATGGAGCACCAAGGGTCTTACCTTGAGAAGTTTCACTATTGCATTTTTGCTAATGGCAGGCTCTAAGAGACTCCTACTGACTCGTGTCAAAACTTGCTCGGGAGGAATGCTGGACATAGCGATAGAGCCCTAGGTTCCAATCAACAAATGGCGAAGTATTTTCCGATCGCTCCGGGAATTAGGGTTTCTCGGGCAACTCCAGATTTCTAAAACACAAGACTCCTACTTCGAAGCAGCTAGAGGCTAGTGGGAGAGGGCGCGCAAGCCTTTTAGACAGTTTTGTATTTATAATTTTCCAACAAAATTCTGCCATGCGGACGTTTTGGCTTGTGTTGGCTGATACCATTTTTTTGGAAAATTTGAGAGCCTGGCTCTGACTTATTAAAATAAAAAAAATTAATAAATAAAACTCAAAAAAATTAAAAGAAAAAAAATTACCGGCAATACAACAACACACAACAAAAACAACGGTCTTCAAGAATAAGATAACAAGTATAACATGAACAAATATCATCAGCATATAAGAATCAGCAACAACTTCCTCAGCAACAACAAGCTTGAAGAAGTAGATAACAAGCGACAGTGCCAGTAACCATCATAGGTGCAATGATAACTTGAAAAATAAGATAATAACAATAAAAATAATCTGAAAATAACAAAATTATAGACAACAAAAAACTTCTAGAAATACCCATAGCAAAATGAAATAAGAAAAGAAGAGGAAAATGAAAAATTAATAAATTAATAAAGCTCGGCCAAACCCAAAACATCACAGAGTAACTCCAATTAGATTCTACAGAATTATAAATTTAGTATAAAACCCTCCAAATAAATGGTTGAAATCAAGTTTCCGTCCAAATTAATTTGCAAGAAAAACATCATAAAAAGATCTCCTTAGAATGGCAAAGTTACCAAGGGTAACTCGTCGCTTCACCTAATAACAAAGCCAAAAAAGATTAAGATCAAACAAAGTATCTGAAATTCTCAGTAAAATATCAACCACTAACAAAAATCGCACCTCCAATAAAGAAAAATCAATGCATAGTAACCAAAAACTGACAAATCAAAAGATTTAATCAACAAAAGAAAAAACAAAATCTCTTAGAATAAGCAAGCAATAGCATGAGAGGAAGAGAACAAAAACCTCTAAAATAGAAGGATACAACAAAGAACTATCCAATAATCTAGAGGAAAAGATAAAAAAAAAATGTAATACCAGTTATAATAAAAGATTAGATTGATATGTAAGAGAAGTAACAATAAAACCAACAACAAAATATAAATTGACAAAACATAATCCAAATCAAAATATGAGAAATTAAATTGTCAAAGAACAAACCAATTAGCAACATAAGGAAAAAGAGAACAAAACCAATAAATGAAACAAAGATCTTTCCAAATAAAATCCAGAGGATAAAATCAAGAAGAGCATCTATAATGTCAGTAATACATAAATAAAAGAACAGGAAATAACTGCAGTAGCAAGAATAACCAAAAAATAATAAAATCAGAAAACTAATCTACAAGTGTCGGCACTACTTTTGGTTGAAGGAGTTGCTCGTTGGAAGCTATTAGTCACCGGAATCGAAATCCCGTCGTGCACTTTGGAATGACATTTTAATTTATATATGTATATATAGTTTAGAAAAGTATGAAATCAAACTGACCCCATATTTTTCATAGTTTAAATGAAAGAACATTATACCTCAAACCTTGTATCTATCCCGAAGGATAAACACAATATTTGAAGATGAGACTCGATCAAATAAACTGAGAAATATATGACTTCGATTTTGTCTGCAAAACTGTTTTATTTGCCGACAATTTCCCCTATTTAATATGAAGAATTAAATAGGGTTTATTTTAGGCTGGGTTCGGACAAGCTTCCTATAAGGGCAAGCCCCTATAGTTAATTTTAGATAACTGAAGTCACCTAAGAAATCTCTCGATAAAAATCAGGGAATATTATCTTCAAAGAGTTCAAAATGATAGGATTTTTCAACAAAATCGAACAAAGAGGTGTGAAATGGGAATGGCTCAAATTTGGAACATTTATTCTAGAATCCAAAGGAGAAAGAACTAGGGGATGTCACATATCCAAAGGACAACCTCGGTGACTTCCCAGTCTATCCTATTGTTTGGCTTCAGTTTTGAGGAGAAATATTTAGGTGTTGTATCCTACCAATTTTATTTTTTAGGGCTTACATTTGTGTGAAACGATCACACAAATAGCCTGGAAGTTGTGAGGGTTTAGGTCGTGAAGAACGACAACCTCAGAATCTTAAGATGAGTTAGAGTTTGGGCTTAGATTGTACAGCATAGTTATACGAAGGCCTAAAGATGAGTTGAGGATTTATGTTGCGCTAGGCAAACAACCTTGAAATCCTAGGGCTTATTGTTTAATACTAAGGGAAGAATGGTTTAGCTGGGGAAGACAGGTTTTGTTGTTAAAGATGG